CATATGATATCATATACACAAAGTTGATGTACAATCTATTTTATATGAAATTGGAAATTTGTACACCCTACCCTTAACCATTTATCATGTGTTGCCTCCTCTATCATGTCGGGTTTTGTAAGCACACCTAGTGTACGGGCACCCATAGGATCTGCTACTTTTGCGTGAGTGATAATTGCCTGGTTTTCTATGTCATCCTTACATGAAATTGTTGCAATTATAATAGATTTGTCATTTTTAATATATTCCTTTACAAGTTCTTCGATCAAATTAATAAATTTTCTATCTTCAGCTTTCTCAGTATGTCCTAAGCCGTATTTAAATATATATATATATAATTCAAATAATTATTATTGTAAAAATATATACGCGAAATGGTGTTAAAGTCATAAACTTACGAATGATTCCGGGTAGATCAATCAAACTTAGGTTTGTAACATCGGGTCCCTTTATTTCCATACATACGACGTTTTTCGTAAACTTTAGATGATTCAATTGAGGATCATCATCATTATTTTTATTTCCGAAATCCCAATCAAAAAAGTTACTGCTATCATGCGTAGGATTTAACAACGCCTTTTGAGCACGACGTGCCATTATGTCAACCATATCCGGATTATCGATCGAGTCACCAAATTTGGTTTCGTTTGGACGAGAAAGACGTTTTCCGTTTTCATCATCATATTCTTTACGAAGAGAAATTTGGCATGACCACGGCTTTGTAGATTCAGTTAATCGAAGTTCCATCACACAGCGAGTACAAGTTCCATCCGACCTAGGTAACTATGATTTTAAAAAATTGTTTATGGATCTTTGGTTTTGAGATGTAGTATGAGAACAATAAAAGGCTTATTTATTATCGTTATATACTTTAACCCCTGAAATCGCCTCAAGCAAGCTACTTTTTCCCGCAGATTGATTTCCACAAAAAACTATAGTGGGAAGATTAACGGCAAAATGTGCACCAGCGCGACGTAATTCATTTAAAATTTTAATATAATTTGATGCCTCTCTTGCATATTGAGAATTAGAAATATAGTAAGAGTTAGCATTATAATCCATTTGAATCAATTCTTTTTTTATTTCTGGGTTGAGAAAGTCTTTCCACGTAATTGTAATTTTTATAGGTTACAAAGAATATTGCTAAACACCGCAGGTGATCATCAAGTTGTAGGATCTTGTGCAACCAAAACAATAGTGAACCAAAACAATAGTGAAACTAAGAAAAAAAAGCCAAAAACATTGATAACAAGTTTTCAACACAAAATTTCATATATAATTTCACTTTCCTTACTCTAAATTTCGGTGATCTTTAGCAAAATTCGGTTACAAATTCTTAATATTGACATTTTTGGAATCAATGGATATAATACTGGTTAAAACTTAAAGTTAAAACTAAATGTGTAACAAAACTTGTTTGTGGTACATATAGAGATAACCCTTTTGTGGAATAGATGATGAAATTTTATTTAGTAATTGATGTCTAAAAAATAAACAAAAAAAAAAAACAAAAAAGTTCCCATATATGGTTTGAAATTCGGTATCCAGCCAATCAACATCAATTATGTAGATACGAACGATTAGTGTGTAACGTTAAAATTTGTGTAATGTAAACAAATGCTAACCTTAACGCTAAACAGAAAACTGTAAATAATACAAAATTTTACTATATAATTGTGTTTAATGTCGGGTTTGACATAAGGGAATCCCTATTTTTGACCCTAACGCTAACCCAATTTTAATTAACCGCAGATCGTTGATAGACGATTTTTTTTTTGTTTTCACGTTATACCTGATCCTGGCGTGGGTTACAAATTATTAATATTGCCATTTTAGGAATCTATGAAATTTGTTTTGGTATAACGATAGAGAACAGGAAGATTTCCGCAAAAAATCACAAAATTCTTATTGTTGAGAATCAACACGTGATTTTTATTGATTATTTAGGCGGTGGCATTTATATATTTTAAAGTACTCTTCGAATTACAAAATTAGCACGAATGAATTCGGTGCCAGGTTTGTGGCTCAGTTTTACAATTAACAAAAAATTTTAAAGTTCATTGTAGTTCGAACGTTTGTTTTGGAGTTTGCCGATCGTGTTTAGGGTTGGGGGCGCGGGAAAATTTTCGGGCATGCCCCAATGGGGGTGTCTGTCAACTAAATAAATCAAAACTATATGTGGTCACTAATGTCGGAGCTTACTGAAATTTTTTTCATTAGTATGATTAATCAGTAATATATTTATATATAAAATATATAAAATTGTGTACTTTTTATATATAAAAATATATAAAATTGTGTACTTTTTTTAGATGCACAGGTTGAAATTTTCTTTTTTTGCAGAAAATCTTGATGCCAATCGACTCTTTCCTATCCCAGTAACAAAATTACAGAGCCATTTTTTACATTATATTGGAGAATGAAATTTTTTTCTAACTTAATTTATGTGTACTGTATTTGTTGTTTGGATAATCCGGACGAAATTTAAGCTTCCGGAAAAATTTTTTTAAACAAATATAAAATTTGGCTCTGTAACTTGCATTGCGAAGACCTTCTATTGATCCATTCAAAGCTTGGGATTCTAATTTTTTTTGTTGTGAGAGCCCTGCATCTAAATCTTTATCACGAAAAAATTTTATATTATACCATATATAGTTTTGATTTACTTAGCTGACAGACAGCCCCAATGCCCCATGGGCATGCCTTTGGTTTTTTTTGATTTAGAGGCATGCCCCTAAAATTTTTTACGTGCCAACTTTTTACATATATAAATTTTTTGAAAAAGGGCATGCCTCGTGCCCTGTGCTTTCAACCCTAATCGTGTTCAGGGACAGTGATTTTCTGTGGTGGTTAAGACTAAATTCTGTATGTGGTTAAGACAAATTCTGTGATTTAATGTGATAAGCCTTTTTACCAATTTCTGTGCAATTTTGTGATGCTATTTTATTCTTTCTGTGATTTAATGTGATTATAAATAAAAATTTGGGTATCAGAATTTTCCTAAACCATATAGTTCCATAACTCCCCGAAAAACACGCTCGTAATTTACATTAATTTAGTGTTTACCTTTCCGGGAGTTCCCGATGCTCGGCCTGAATTTATTGGCCAACCCCTACAATATTTTATAATTCTGTGGTATTTTGCGCATTTTGTAGAAATCTGTAACATTCTGTGGTGATTAAGGGCGATTTTTGTAGTTGGCTATGATTAGAAGAAATTCTGTGGTTTTCTGTGAAACACAAAAAATCACTGTCCCTGATCGTGTTACGTTCTTGGATCTGATTTGAAGATCAGGTATCTGTGCCATTTCAGCAGAGGTCTTTTTCGATTTTTAATAGCTGCCCTACCTTGTTTAGTGCATCGAGTGTAACCCAGGTTCACATAAGGAGAACTTCTCCCTGCATTACGAATACAAAGTACAAGTTCCAATTATACTATATAATTGGAAATTCTACTTTGCCTTCGTAACGCAGGGAGAAGCTCTCCTTATGCGAACCTGTGTTACACTCGATGCACTAAACAAGGTAGGACAGCTGTTAAAAATCGAGAAAGACCTCTCTGCTATCTAATCCCACACATAATGTGATCAATTAATTATAAAATTATTTATATGAATTCAATTTTATAATGTATGTTACAGATATAATCTCTCACTGATTAAACTATATGTATAACAATAATGTTTCCTCCTTTTATGGGTGCCGTAGGGGTTATGCATTTATGCTTAGTGGTTTATAAAAATATCAAGGGGCGCTTTCAAGCAAAAACTCGGTTCTTTTCCTGAGCAGATGTTGTAGCGGATTAGATGTATACATATTTATGTAATTGTATTCAATTGTTTCCCTGCATATTATAATTGTCTTTTAATTTATGAGACAAACCATGAGTAATCCATGGAATGCACTACTAACAAGGATTAGACAATGGATATCTTCTTAGGGGAAGGACCGATTTTTTTGCTTGAAAGTGCCCAAGAATACGATTTATGCAATATAAATCAATACGTATATAATGAAGAAAATCGTTTCTATTTTACGTTAAGTTGTTTGCAAACCTTATAAGTGACTGAAATAACGATTTTGATACATTTATAATAAAAAAATATCAAAAAAGTAGTTTCGTCTTTATCGCCGCGTGTGTTTATATTTGTACATTGTGTAAAAAAAATTATGCATGTTTACGCGTTTGTGTAATATGACAAACATGAGTTCCGAACTTAAACCGGTTTCCAGTTTCTAGTAAATAAAAATCACGATTGGTAATACTGTAATATCGAAATAACTAGTTTTATATTGTTCTATATTTTAACATTTATCGCTAACCTTAAAAACTAAAACTACTGTATATATTTGTAAATATATCTTTCTGCAATATTAAAATATTTTCTAGACCCTTTCATCAATCATTGTTATTAAATAATTAAATATTTTCAATACAAAAGAAAAGAACGTCGATAAATTACTTTATTTTCTAAAATGAGAGAGGTTGATATAAATTATCATCTCGGAAAGAATTATCAAAAAGGAAACGGAGTCATAAAAGATGAACATAAGGCATTCAATTATTATCAAAAATCTGCCAATAGTGGTAGTGAACGTGGGCTATATGCTGTTGGATGCTGTTATCATAATGGAATTGGAATTGAAAAGAATGAAAGTATAGCATTCATTTATTATCAAAAATCAGCAGAGATGGGGCATGCTCAAGGCATGTATATGGTTGGAAATTGCTATGATAAAGGAATTGGAGTTGAAAAGGATGAACGTATGGCTTTCATTTATTACGAAAAATCAGCAGAGATGAAACATACTAGTGGAACATATAATGTTGGAAATTGCTATGAAAAAGGAATTGGTGTTAAAAAAGATGAATATAAGGCATTTATTTATTATCAAAAATCGGCAGAGATGGGGTATGCTAGTGGAACATATAATGTTGGAAATTGTTATGAAAATGGAATTGGAATTAAAAAGGATGAACATAATGCATTCATCTATTATCAAAAATCTGCAGATAAGGGACATGTTATGGGAGCATACAAAGTTGGTTATTATTATCAAAATGGAATTGGGGTCGAAAAAGATGAATGCAAGGCATTTACTTATTATAAAAAATCTTCTGCTATGGGTGGTGCTTATGCAACTTATAAGTTTGGTTATTGTTATCAAAATGAAATTGGAGTCGAAAAAAATGAATGTAAAGCATTTCTTTGTTATCAAAAAGCTTCTGAAATGGGCGATACTGATGGAACTTATGATCTTGGTTATTGCTATAAAAATAGAATTGGAGTTGAAAAAGATGAGCAAAAAGCATTTGCTTACTATCAAAAATCTGCTGAAATGAATCATATCAAAGGAATATATTCCGTTGGATACTGTTATAAAATGGAATTGGAGTTAAAAAAGATAAACATCAGGCTTTCATTTATTATCAAAAAGTTGCTAATATGGGTGTTGCTGATGGAGCGTATAAAATTGGATATTATTACCAAAATGGAATTGGAATTAAAAAAAATAAACACAATTCATTCATTTATTATCAAAAATCAGCAGAGATGGGGCATGCTAGTGGAATATATAATGTTGGAAATTGTTATGAAAAAGGAATTGGGGTTGAAAAAGACGAATATAAGGCATTTATTTATTATCAAAAATCTGCTGATATAAATAATGTTGATGGAGCATATAAAACTGGATATTACTACGGAAATGGAATTGGAATTAAAAAGGATAAACATAATGCATTCA